TTTTTTTCCTTTTCTTGAGGTTCTTTGTTGCTCTTGGAAGATAAGTGTGTTTGTCTTCCTCTTGTAAATCTTCTATTGATGATTTAATGAAAGTGTTATTGATCAAAAAAAAAAAAAAGAAAATAACTCAAAAAGAAAAAGACGAAAAAGAAAATGTATGAGAGCTCCTCTTTTGTCCTACTTTTTCTCTCTCCTCAAATCCCTTTGAATCTTTTATATTTTGATAATAAAGTCCTAAATAAAACATAAGAAATATGTATTATATGATGAGATATATGAAAAGAACATAATAAAACGCATAAATGGTATTAAAACAACAAAAAAGGTGCTTGCTTGTATTTTTGTCCCCTAAGCAGCTGCCTTGTTGCTTAGGTGGGCCTCTTGTCTCCTAGACAAGTACCATTTTAATATAATTGTCTCACCATTTTTTAGCAGTTTGTGCAAAGTGCAAACACACAAGGACCAACTGTCCACTAATGAAGTAAGGATCCTTTTAAGAATCGAGGTATTTATAAAATGTAAACCAGAGTTTAATTTGTTTATAGAATAATAGGGTAAACCATTTAAAACTTCTACATTTTCTTTATTTAAGACATTAGCATTTAAAGCAGATCCATAAGGTATCAATGCTTGGTACAAATGTGAGAACACAGATTTGAGTCTAAGAGTGGCCAGTGCACAAAAAAATGCCAAAGGTCAGGTCCGTATCCAGACCACCCTCTTAAGACACTGGTTATCCAAAGCCAACATTGGATAATAGCTCTTTTGGCATTTAAAGTCTGAATATACTGGGCATCAGCAGCAACAAATAGGACATATTTCAGCTTTTGTAATTTGCAATGGAGTCTCTTGCAAATCCAAGTGTTGGCATCATATAATGAAGTTGGGGAATATGAAAATTGGTATTAAATCCGTAGCCATAAAGCTATAGGGATCATGCAATCGAATAAAAAGTCAATTGTAACTAGGATTAAAATATTACTAAAGCATTTCCATCTGAAGTATTCAACAAAAGTGAAAACTATGAGTGGCACAACGTTGCATACCTACACCAAAGTCCCAGCTGTCTGCCTCTCCTTCCACATTAAGGCCTCCTTAATACATGAAAAAAAAACACCATAAAAACATCCGGTCAACAACACTACAGTTTACATGACCACAACAGAGACCAGATATAGAAACAGCTTGAAAATAATCTGAAAACAAATTAATATAAAGTGATATATTTTGTTTCTTAAAATTAAAGGCATCAACTATCCTATAATCTATTTGGAGTTAAAAGAGACAATGTAAACAAACAAAATGACCTAACATCAGTAGCAGTTTCCCCCCTGTTTTTTAATTGCCAATCAGTAATAACTGTCAAGTAAGCATAAAAACCATAAATTCCAAGACATTAAGGTTCATCAATGCTTTACAACAGACTACATCCAGTGTTTTTAAAACCTGAACCACCAGTGGACATGCAACTACAATGAAACCCTAGATAATGGCGGGAGGGGGGGGGGGGACATAGATCTAGTAAGACCATAGAATGATAAGGCAATGATGACTAGATACAGTGGTGCAACGGCAATGATACGGGAGAAGCTACGTCCCACCACACTTGCAATAGTTTAGATTCTCGATGAATTTGTGATCTACATTCATAGGTTCAAGCAGTTGAGCATTTAATGCAGCTTGAAAATAAGAGATGGGACTGCCACCTGTGAAGAAGAGATGGACCGGTGACTCTCCATTCTTGAAGGGATTAGAGAAAACTAAAATCTGAAATGAACATGGGACCAATCGTCTCCTGAGAAGAAGAGAATCAAGAGATAGGACTGTTGCATGAAAAGAATTTCAGTTGCCTGCTGTTGTTATGATATCAAGCTCTGTTTCAACCATTGGCTGCTATAATCCTTGTTTTTTGTCACCTATGTCTTTATCACTAGATATAAATTCTCATTCCTTATTTATTTATTTATTTGTTTCTGTTTTTTTTTCTTTTTGACTAATGGTTCACCATTTCAAGTTCTTGTCTTCTTTATTGTCGGTGTGCCACTGCAGCATTGCTTGGTTAGGCATGGCATTCTACGTTCAGATTTTAGAGCTAGCATTCAAATTTGAAGCCTGAAGTGAAAAATGAAAAGGATAGAAAACGAAGTATAACAGGGAAGGGGAATAGGGATGGAACAATGGCTCCCATAAAAAAAATGTAAACATAAAATATAGAAATTAATAATTTAATATGTTGAAAGAGCTCAACCTATCAACCGCTGTTTGGGTCAACCAGGGTCACCAAATCTTTGACCGTCAATGGTTACTTGTGTTTTAGCAGGCATGGGGTTAGACAAAGCAGTATTATGACCAGGTATGGGTTGAATGGTTCAACTGGCTGGGCCAACAATGGGTTGAAGACCTTGACTACGCCTAAGAGTCAACAGCAGCCATAATACAACCTCCTCCTTTGACATCATATTGCAAACATACACATATTAGTAGGGATTTCCAAATATGAGTAGCAACAGCTACTTTTTAGGTGGACATGGGTTCACATATGCATATGCACACTCACCGGGGGATCTATGTATGCATGTCTTCTATTTGTGAAAGTCTTACAATTACAACAAATGGCTCCATACACTATCTATCTTGGTTTATAGGAAAGAGTGAAGGATGTAGAGAACCTCATTCATATTAAACAAATATACTTATACACATAAAAATCATTTACAAAAATCAAATTTCAAAGAGAGAACTTCAAAGGGTTTACACCCTCAGAAGTCAGGAAAATCTAACAAAACACATACCAAAATTAAACTTTGAAGGAATCCAGTACCAAAACTCTGACTCTGATGGGAATAAGATAATACATGAGATGGTTGTAGATATATAGCCGATTTTTGTACATCTGGATTTTATCATTGAAGAGACCTGTATAGTCTTCTCCGGGGCTTTTGCCCTTAACAATATTAATACAGTATCCAATACCTCCTAATGTGTCATAATCATTTATTCAGGGCTTTCCATACCCAAAAAAGACAAGAGTCAGCCTTCAATGCCCATGATAAATCAAAGAGAACCATGTTGCCAAATATTCTTAAGGCTCCATTTGGAATGAGTACAAATACAAATAATGTACTGTCTAAATACATACAAAATAATATAAAATATAAGGTTTTACGCTCTACATATTTGTATTTGTACAGTACAAATACATACAAAATAACACATAATACAAGGTTTTGCACTCTACATATTTGTATTTGTACTCCTTCCAAACTGAGCCTAAGGAACACTAGAATGCATTCACCCACCATAAAGGCTCCAATACATAGATGGGGCTGTCATGTAGTTTTCTTGGTATTCTTCCTTGATTTGAATCATAATTCAGTTCAATGTTCCATCCAACATATCTTATACAACAGAGGATGATAGGAGGTTGTAAATGCACTAGATGCACTACCATCCTAAAAATTATAAAAATTTCCATTACCAAAATACCAGGCAATATTTATAAATGAAAACATAACTTACTTGGAGATGTATCAGGGGCAACTAGTGCAATCCCCTGAGCCGCAGCTGCACGTTGAGCTCCAGACTTGATTATAAAATTTTCATCTGTACATGTGAGACCAGAAAGCCAGTAAAGCACCTGTAGAAAATGAAAAGCAATCAAAACAATGTAGTCAGGCCCCATTTTCTATCGCAGCATATACAGAGGTGTTTTGACATGCAGGCCTCTGATGCGCCTTGAGGCAGTATGCAACCAAAAGCACCAAAAGTACAACTCTGAATAATGCATGCTCATGGGGGTGAAGAAAATGCCTCAAATTAAGCGTGTAAGCTTGTCCATAATCTGAAGTTAGAGGCACCTTATGAACATCTAATAGGAATTTAAAGAGATACAATACTTTAGAAAAATGGAATCTTTTGGCAGTTATTACTTAGATCTGAAATCCAACTACAATTAATATAATATCAAAAGAATGTCCAAATAAAAATAAAAGACCATTGAACCACAGGATACAAATAATTGATGTAATTCTAATTTATTAGAACCATATGCTTTCGCAATTTAAGTTGAATGATTAATGACATCCTAACGTTTTAGCATTCTAAACATTTCTCTGTGCCTTATTGGATTCCTCTCCTTATTACAACCAGCATCTTTTAGATGCCCAGAAAAGGGCCGCTTTAACATGTCCTTTGGATTGTCGCAATCCATCTGAAGCAAGTGAAACCCTTTTGGGTTGCCACCTCAACTGCCAGAATATATAAGACTCCAGGGTCATGCAAGACATTCTTTAAATGCTTCCCTATCTATCATATAATAGAAATAATGGAAAAGAAAATGTACAGTTCTGCTAATTTTGTTTCAGGAAGTACTTACCATAACGAATCTTTACATAGTATTTCTACAGTCACCAGTTTATCGAAAACAGAAACGAACAGTGGATTTTCTTACAAAATATAGATATTAATGGTGTACCAATCTTTTGGAAAATACCCATCAAAACGTTACATACTGAAGGAACAATTAGAATCTAATGGTTATGTAGTCAAAACATCTCAACTGTTTATAAAACGTTTATATCATACTCAAATAAATCACTTCATTTCGAAATGTAATCCACAAATTGCGTGGTCTCAGGACTACAAATAAAGTGTTCGGGGAATGGAGTGAAGATGGGTGGAGAGAAGAACTTACGGGGCATCCATTGATTAACCATAATTGGTTACTAATAATCAATGCAACAACATACAAAATACCATTCAGGGGTCCCGATTTAACATCATCCGTAAGGGAGATCAAGAACCCTAGAACATGGGAATCAAGAATTTTGGGGAATGGAGTGAAGAGGGGTGGAGAGAAGAACTTACGGGGATCTTCTGAGAGGGGGAGGGAGGGAAGTAAATGTGGAAGGTCATGGAGCAGCCCAGAGTCGAGCTGTAATGTTTGTATCTCTTGTTGTACCCTCCGAACATCTTCGAACTGCTGATCTCGCTTGGCTTCTCCATTCTCGCTGCTTTTCTGTGCTCTCTTTGCTTCAGTGGAGGAAAACAGGAAGGGAGTGAACTGTGAAAATAGACTGAAAGCAATGTGAGATGCTTCGTCTTCCGACGATTATTGTTGTTCGATTGATTGAAATTATCAGATTAGCCTTGTTGAGAAGCCGACACGGCTACACTCTGACAGCAGCCGGATTGTTGGAACTGGAAGCGGTTGTAGGAGGGCATTTGTGTCAATTAAGAAGGCAAAAATCTGAAGGGAGGGCAACTGAAATCGTCAAACTATATCTCGACAACGTGGCAGACATGCATGAGCCGGAAATCAACGGCTGATCACTAACCTATATATGGATTATGGAGATTGTTCACGGGCCGGGCTTCGGGCCCGATTTTACATTGTTTTAGGTTCGTACTTCGGGCCGGGCCCATTTAAATTTTGACTTCATTTAAAACCGAATCGGATAAGGAATCAGTCAGGCGTCTGGTTCCTGGATCGAACTGTCCGATTGTTAAAATCGAACAGATGGCCCATTTTAATAAAAAAAATAAAACACAACTAAAATGGTTCGAACGGTTTAACGCCTGGATCAGCAATTTTCTGACTAAATCAACGAAATAATGATTCTGAGGTAAAACAAAACGATACCTGACCGATTCCTAATTTTTCTAATCCGACTGTCTGGTCCGGTCTGATTTTGAAAATTATGCTCCAAACAACTTAAGGCTCATTTGGAACGACTTCTACATTGATTGAGCCTATCTGAGAGAGCTTTTTGGCTTTTTGAGTTTTTATCAAATACGGTGTTCTGGTTTCAGCTCATGTAATAATGCTAGAAGTCAATGTGTGAAAACCCACCCAAATAGGCACTATATTGATATCAACATCGACCAGCTGTTTGATGTTTTGGCATTATCTCAAAGTTTGGGTCCATGAAGTACTAATAATTGAGGACTTTGTTGGGGAAAATCTAGAGAGTCCAAACATACTACAAAGGAATGACTGAATATTGAATTTAACAAAAAAGATTAACATAAACTTAGTATCAGAGATCAATTTTTTTACAAAGAAAAGACCATTTTTCTTTTGAAGAAAAAATTATCTTCAAAGTTTTGGTCTTATCTATACTATGTTCTAATATGTAGTTGTCCACATTAGACAGGCTTTTTCAAATTTTTAAAAACAAGAAATTAAATATGGGGCTATTTAGACTTACCCACATCTAGGGGTGGATGCGAACCAAGCTTTTCACGAGCTATTCGATCTTGGCTCGTGAAAAGCTCGACTCGGCTCGGCCCAGACCGAGCTTCGAACCAAATTCGAGCTGGAATACCGAGCTCATTTACTAATTGAGCTGAGCTCGAATATTATGCAATTCGGTTCGTTAGATTTGCGAGCCTATTCGAACCATATATATATATATATAATATTCGTATATAATTATATAATTTATATTTAAATTTATTGGTGTACACACTATTGTGGTCCCTATTGTATCTTATATTTTCTTACTTTATCTAATGCCTGGGATGGGAGGGAAAGAAAAAACCCTCAATTGAATCTTGAAGACTTAAACTGCCGAACTCAAACTGGTTTGAGACAAAACTACCGAACACGAAATTGCAAGTCTGCAACTGTGAGAGACGAGTAGAGAGCAAGTGCAAGTGCGACTGCGCAAGTGTGCAACAAGTGAAGATGCCGCCGCCGAAGAGAACTGATTACCTACTGTCTGCGACTCTGCGACTCTGCGACTCCAGGTCTTCTTCTTCTTCTTCTTCTTCTTCTTCTTCTTCTTCTTCTTCTTGTTATTATTATTATTATTATTATTATTATTATTATTATTATTATTATTATTATTATTATTATTATTATTATTATTATTATTATTATTATTATTNTATTATTATTATTATTATTATTATTATTATTATTATTATTATTATTATTATTATTATTATTATTATTATTATTATTATTATTATTATTATTATTCGGATTTTCTTATGGCTTCTACAGGGACTTTGTGATTTTGGTTCATCTTGCAAGTTGCATCCACGCCATTAAAAAAGGTATTTGAAATCTGTAATTTTTAGTTGAAGAATAATAACATTCATTCTGATTTTCTACAAGTCATTTTTAAATTAGAAAGTTGTCTCCCAATTAAATTATAACATGCATGGCTACTTTTTCTTTTATTCTACTCTTGGTTAGGGTTATTCTGTCCTCTCATAAACTGAGGCGGAGAAAATGAATGGTTTTGATCACTGATCAGAAATTTTGATATTTTTCTATTTTGGTTTCAATGTAAAATTTTTATGGAAAACAATCATAATCAGTTTCCCAAAAGAATTTTTCATAGTTGTTAATAAATAGAGTTGGATTGGATTAAAGTAGTACCTCCAAAATTTCTGTAAGAATTAAGGGTGGATTTGATTTGAAGGAAAAGGGGGGATTAAAGTAGTACCTCCCAAAAGAATTGCCCATTCTAATTCTAACCATTTGGTTGGGCCGAATGGGATTTCAATTCCCATGAGTTATGTTTATTTATATGTTTATAAGTTTATTTATCTTGAAATTCATGAGTTAATATATAATAACTAGTTAACATTTTTTTAAGTTTTTCACCATATAAATGCTTGTTTGACATTCTTAAAAAGGGACATCATATATCTAAATGCATATATGAAATTCATGTTGCATATTCTAAACATGAATGGGGGTAAGTTCAATTTTGAATTTGCATGAATGCTAGGTTTTTGAACTTGGTAACTTAATATGCTTGCCCTCTGTTTCTATATTGTTGATCTCGGAATCTTCATGTTGTAATCAAACATGCATGTGATGTGCATTTTATTATGGATTGAATATTCTTCTAATTTTTTATGCTGAATTTTGATTCTTTTTGTATATTACATAATCAGACAAGTTGTTTTTTCTCTGAAAAAATATATTTAATTTTGGGCATTTGAAATTTTTTAGAATGCTGAAATATCCTTAAAAGAATTGAACTCAAAACTTAAATGTTAAGTATATTTATCCAAAAAGAAACTTATATGTCAACTTAAAACCAATGTGTTTCTATGTTGTTGGATGACTCATTTTTATCAAAACATGTTAATTCTTATTAGAGAAATTTTCATAACAATGTTTCCTTTTGTGTAGGAATGCTATCATCCCTTATCTATGATCACAACATATTATCAGCAGATATTCCCTCTACCTCTATAGGACCACCCTTGCTCTCTCATTCAGTGTCTGGTTCTTCCTCTATCAATCTCATCATGGTTGATACTACTAATGACTCTTCTCGAAATGAGGCTAGTCAAACAACAAATAATGCAATGAATCCCATTACCACCCCTTCTACCACAGAAGGTACTCAAACTGGACATCAGAGTCCTATTGAAGAAGATGGTCCAATACCAAAGTCAAAAAGACAAAAAACTTCACCTGTATGGTTGGAATTCACAGAAGTTGAACTTAGTGATGGAACAAAGAAGGCCCAATGTGTCTATTGTAAGGCTAAATTGTTTATACAATCTACTAGTGTGACAAGTCACTTTAGTCAACATTTGAAATCATGTATACCAAGAAAAGTGGCTAAGAATGCTGAGAAGCAGGGTAAGCAACAAATGACTTTGAATTTCCAACCAATAGATTCAAATGTTGATGTGGATATTGTGGGTTCTCCTCTTTAAGATCCTAGTGTTGTTGGGAAGTATGATCATTCCAAAATGAAGGAAGCAGTTGCTCATTGGGTGCTTATGCATGAGCATCCATTTACTATAGTATAAGAGGAAGGTTTTAACTTCATGATGAAAATGTGTAATCCTTCTTTTGAGAAAATCTTTCGAAAGACCATAAAAAATGATTGCATGGCTGTGTATGAGGACCAAAAGAAGAAGTTGAAGAATCTTTTTAAAGGGTATTTCCAAAATTAGCATAACTACTGACCTTTGGAAGTCACAAAACCAAAGGATAGAGTATATGGTGCTAACTGGTCATTTTGTAGATGCCAATTGGAAGTTACAGAAACGCGTCATCAGCTTTGTCCATGTTCCTCCACCTCGTCGTGAGGTTGATATAGCAAATGCAATCTATAAATGTTTGAAGGAGTGGGGCCTTGAGAATAAGGTATTTACAATTTCAATGGATAATGCATTGTATTATGATTCATGCTTGAGGTTTTTGAGAGAGATATTTTCTAGAAATAGAAAATTTCTTTGTGATGAAACGTTATGTCATGTCCAATTACACACATTCTAAATTTATTGGTTCAAGACGATCTTGGTGAGATTGGTTACATCATAAAAAATGTGCGTGAGAGTGTGAAGTACATTAACCAATCCGAGGCAAGGAAACAAACTTTTTTCTGAAATTGTACAACAATTACAAATTGGTGCAAAAAAGTTGGTTATTGATTGCCCCACTTGTTGGAATTCCACATTTGAAATGTTGTCTTGTGCTTTGAAATTCAAAGATGTATTTCCAAGGTTTCAAGAAAGAGAGCCAAACTATGATTACTTGCCAACTCTTGAAGATCGGGAAAAAGTGGAGAAAGTGTGTGAGGTACTTGAAGTTTTTAGTGTAGTTACTAACATCATTTCTGGTAGTGACTACCCTACTTCTAATTTGTACCTTAGTGAGATCTATAGGGTGAAGGAAATTCTGAATTTGAAGTCAATGGATGAAAATGATTTCATTCGACAAATGGTTGGGAAAATGAAAGAGAATTTTGATAAGTATTGGGGTGAATGTAATCTATTAATGGCAATAGCTTTTGTCTTGGATCCAAGGTGCAAATTGAAGTTGGTTGAAATGTGTTTTCGATAAATATATCCAGAAGATGAAGCTAGAAAGAACATTGATTAGGTTCGAGGTGCTTTATACCAACTTTATGATGAGTATGTGGCTGCTTATAATTCTTCTAGTAGTGAGCAATCCTCTATTAAAGGGAATGGTAGTCACAAATCTTCAATAAGTTCAGGTTCCAAGTCTCAATCATCAAGTTCTGGATGGTCAAATTTGATGAATTATGTGAAGAGAGTTGAGACCATTCCCTCACCAAAATCAGAATTAGATATGTATCTTGAGGAGGGTGTATATATTTGTGAGGAAAAAAGAGCACATTATGAATTCAATAGTTTGGAATGGTGGAAGGCTAATAATTTGAAATATCGAGTGTTATCAAAGATGGCAGCTG